TCCTTCCTTCCTTCCTTCCTTCCTTCCTTCCTTCCTTCCTTCCTTCCATGGTGTGCAGTGCTTAGAATGCAATATTGCAGACTGACTCTGTCCACTGCCGGGAGATCGATCCTGGCCAGCTCCAGGTTGACTCAGCCTTCTGTCCTTCCAAGGTCAGTAAAATGAGGACCCAGATTGCTGGTGGCAAGAGGCTGTAAACCACTTAGAGAGAGCTGGAAAGCAGTATATAAGTGTAAGTGCTATTGCCCTTCCTTCCTTCCTTCCTTCCTTCCTTCCTTCCTTCCTTCCTTCCTTCCTTCCTTCCTTCCTTCCTTCCTTCCTTCCATGGTGTGCAGTGCTTAGAATGCAATATTGCAGGCTGACTCTGCCCACTGCCAGGAGATCGATCCTGGTCTGCTCCAGGTTGACTCAGCCTTCTATCCTTCCAAGGTCAGTAAAACGAGGACCCAGATTGCTGGGGGCAAGAGGCTGACTATGTAGACAGCTTAGAGAGGGCTGTAAAGAATAATATACTGTATAATAGTATAATATATAAGTCTAAGGTATAGTATAGTATATAAGTCAGGGGTGGGTTTCTACCGGTTCTGTCCACCTCTGTAGAACTGGTAGCTCTGAAGAGCAGCAGACATAGAACCGGTTCTATGTCTGCTGATGTTTTTGCCCACCCGCCCACCTGGGATCTTACTTGATCTTTATTTCCTGATTTTTCAACTTCAGCTGTCGAATGAGGCACAGCTGCAGTTAAAAAAGCAGGAAAAGAGGGCTGTTTCAAAGGCTGCTTCTCTGCACGCAGTGTGCTGATGATGATACAGGCACCCGCTCGCAGCGTGCAGGGAAGCTCGGAAATCCCAAACTGGTAGTTAACCCTGTCGTATCCCACCCCTGATATAAGTCTAAGGATTATTGCTATTGCTAGCCTTCCCAGCTGCTTCCAACAAGCAATGTCATTGTGGGAAAGCTGGATTCCCTTAATGGTCATGGATTCACTTACCCATTGCATGGTTCATTTAGCAACCATGGCACAAAAGGTCATAAAATCAGGTGCGCCTCGCTTAACAATTGCCTTGCTACTGGAAAGTCACAGAAACTCTAGCTCCAACTGTGGTTACAAGTCAAGGACTACCTCTATGTACGTATGTATGCATAAACAAGCATTCTGTTCCTAACTAGGTACTTTTAGGATTTTATATGACAGTCTGGATTGGATGTTATGAGGCTTCGTCTGTATTTATTCTTTTATTAGGTTCTCTTAATTGCTATTGTGTGGATGTTCCTCAATGGCATTTATGGCTGCACAATAAACCACTGTTGATGGCTTCCTAAGCATTGTAAACGATGAATGGATTAAAGAGCTGCTGTGTTAGATCTTGCAAATGAAAGCATAGGAATCTTCTTGCAGGAGAGTAGCCCAAGGGGGGAACCATATGGATAATTTACAGATCTTCCCCCCCACTTTTTCCCCCCAATACCGTTTTTTTGAAAATTAGCATCCCCTTTGGTTTGAACTGCACAGTAGAGGGCTCTGCAGCACAGCGAGACGTACCGTTAATAGCTGAGCAATCCGGGTGAATACGTGGCTCTGTACGGGGCTGCTCTCAAATGTCATGTAAATTTGTATGTGTTTTGCCACTTAGGAGAAATTAGGCTGGCTCCAGCTATTGTGATGATATGAAATTTGTATAAAGAGTCGAGCAACGAGGTCGTGTATCATTTGATTAGGAGGGGGAGATTACATCCAGCCTCAGAGGGAGCGCAGATATTTGTTCTCGAGGCTTTCTGTAGATCTGGAATGTATCTGGAGAGCGTCTCACCCTCAAATGTTTTAAAGTTCCCTGTAGACGCAAAGTGGGGAAGCTTTTAAACAACATCTTGGAAGCCCTGCCAGGTAGGCTAGTAAAAAGAAAAGTTGGGAGTTAGAGTTCAGCAGTCTCTCCAAAGGCCCAGGTTCTTCATCCCTGCCTCTGATGACCCAAAGGGGCGTGGCACAAAGGCAACACAATCAGGTTATCAGTAGGAGTTCCTTTATTTGCTCCCAGTGTCCTGGTTACCTTCTGGGCTGGAGAAAAACTCTCCCGGGAACAGCCTTTGGCTGCAGAGAATCAAGGCCAAAACATGGTCAACACAAACTGTAACTTAAAGTCCAAACAAGCCAAATTGAAGTAATCAGTTTGGCAGGGCAGGAGCAAGAATTTCAGACTTGAAGGCATGGCAAAACTCACACGGTTGGGAAGACGCCAGGAACACAGATAAGCAAAGTCAACACAAGATAAACTCACGTTTGCTCCCAGCAGCTGCTGCAGTCAGCATTCAAGTTCTTTTAAATTCTCATTCCCAGGTGTGGCTACTCAAGGGAATCAGGGCCCTTTCCTCCCCCGTAAGCCATGCAACCCCATTGCTCCCTTCTCTGTTCCTCCCTGCATGCCTTAGGATGAAGAGGGGGTGGGCCTGGGTCTTCCTCTGAACTCCCTCTCCCTTGTTCTACCTCTGCCCTGCTCTGCCCAGCCGGACTTTGCCCTTCCCCAGTTTCCTCCACAGCCAACGGAGCCATACTCCCACTCCCTGTCAGCTGTTCATCTTCCTCCTAGGATTCAGACTCCAACAGGGGCAGAACACTGCCCTAAAAGCTTACCAAAATCTATATGTGGCCACCCAGCCTAATAAATCAACTGCCTTACATTGTGTATCTCTCTTCCTTAATAGAGCTGGATAAATTAGGAACTCTGTTGTCCTAATTTATGCCCCAAAGTTGTTTTTTTCCAAAGTCTAGCTGCCTTGGAGACAACCTTGGCCTGGATGATTGAGAATCTCCTTAGACATAGAACTCTGTGCAGCTTCCACCATATGTGAACCAAAGCAATGATCTGAAGCATTTTCTACCTGTGGGCTTATCACCTGAAGTAACTACTGAGCACTCTAACCAGGAAGGTCTACCAAAGATACTCTATTTGGGTGAGCCATGATCTCAACCATGATGTCTTCTTGGCTTGGGGGTAGTGATTTCGTACCCCAACTTGGTTCCTGGTCAGGACCAAGAAGAAGAATTTTCTCATCTGAACTTTGCCCATAACTCCACTTTACCCAAATGAGGTGTTGCTCCAATTCTGTGAAAAAGATAGGTGGACGCCAGTCATGGACATAAGTTCTGGTGGATGGTGAGTTTATCCAATGTGGATGCTTGGAATTCTTTGCCCTTGGTGGCCTCCAGATGGGTGGACTTCAAGACTGCTCACCACTGACTATACAAGTTGGGTTCTGTGGGCATGGCTTGGTGGTATGGCATGGCTTGGTGGGTGTGGCAGGGGGAGGATATAGTAAAATCTCCATTCCCACCTTACTCCAGAGGAAGGATACTGTAAAATCTCCATTCCATCCCCACCCCACTAGCCTCCTTTCCAGCTCCGTTCTCCAATGCAGGGCAACCAAAGAAGACCCAGGTGATCAGCTGGGACTTAGGAGGCAGAGAATAGAGTGGGCGGGGCCAGTCAGAGGTGGGATTTGTCGGTTCTCCGAACTACTCAAAATTTCCACTACCGGTTCTCCAGAACTGGTCAGAACCTGCTGAATACCACCTCTGTTTAATACCCACCCACCCACCCATAAAGTATTCAGTGGTCCTCAAAATTGGCCAAGCCCTGTCCTAGCAGCTCCAATGTCCACTTCCTCTGTTGATCAGTATGAATGACATGCAGGAAGCATAATTCACGGCTTTCCTCGTACATATATGCAGCCACTTATTGTTGGCAGCTGTGCTTGTCACTTTTATGAAGGTTTTAGTGCTAAAATATCAGCTGTCAGCACCGAGCAGGTGTTGATAAATATTATGGAAGGTAGATATATTATTATTCAGGTGAATAGACAAGAGGAAAACAACAGTTGGCCAAAAAAAAAAAAAAAACAATTTCTGGGTTGGGAAGCAACAGACAATGATAGCAAAGCAATTCTGGTACTGAATGAAGGTTTGAAGGATGGGTGATAATTGGCAGTCTCAGGTTATGTTAAAAATTAACTTGAAGTTTAAAAAGAACTCACCTTCTGTGTTACTTTAGCATAATGGATTTAGAGGGTAGAAGAAATTTGCATTTGGGCCTAGAAATGATCATTTCTTAGAATGAGAGCACATTAAACTAGAACAAAGAAAATTTGTGCAACAGCATTCATACAATATGCTAACCTGGGTAGTCTTAGACTTCAGTTTGTTATGGTAGCAAGAGGCATCAACTCAACCAGCTCAATTAGCTTGTAAATTCTGGTTATTGTGTGAAGCCGTATAAGTGGTGAATTTGGGAACCAGCTTAATCGTTGTTATTAGTCACAAAGTCATGTGCGACCCATCGTGACCCCATGGACAACGTTCCCCCAGGCCCTTCTGTCTTCTATCATCTCCAGAATCCATTTAAGCTCAGACCTAGCTGTTTCAGTGACTCCATCCAGCCACCTCATTTCTTAACCTAGATCGTAATTTTTAAGATGAATCTAAAACTCCCAAAAGCTTAGGATCTGCACAGAGGGATACAATCGAGATCAAGTGAGGTATTAATCCCACTCTATAAAGTCTTAGTAAGACCACACCTAGAATCCTGCATCCAGTTTTGGTCACCACGCTATAAAAAAGATGTTGAGACTCTAGAAAGATGGCAGAGAAGAGCAACCAGGATGATTAGGGGACTGGAGGCTAAAACCTACAGTGAACGGTTGCAGGAACTGGGCCTGGCTAGTCTAGAGAAGAGAAGGACCAGGGGAGACAGGATAGCAGCCTTCCAGTATTTGAGGGGCTGCCACAGAGAGGAGGAAGGGGGTCAAGCTATTTTCTAAAGCACCTGCAGGCCAGACAAGGAATAATGAATGGAAACTGAACAAGGAGAGATTGATTCATCCTGGAAATAAGGAGGAATTTTCTGACAGTGAGAACCATCAACCCATGGAACAGAA